TCTGAGAACAATATAATAATATAATAGATAAGCATATAGCTGCTGCTTTTAGAAATCCAGAACGATGTTTCTGCAAAATATTAAAGCATATTTCATAACTGTTTGGAATTTACCGGGAAATATTTTGAACATTTAATAAACTTACTGTAAGTCGCTTGCAATATAACTCGTATTAATACAATAATATCGATACCTAGACTTGATTATAGATGAAATTGATACTTGTATAAGTATAACGAAAGAAAACTGGGAAGTTTACCCCGGAATATTACTGCATGACATGTTTTTTTTCCTGAAAAAGAAGACAAATTAGGTAGCTAGCAACTTGTGTTGGGTGTGAGACAAAGTGACAACAATCATGAACTGGATTCAAACTCGGATTTCCTGTTGACATCTACAGATTTGGTGTAACAGGTATCCAGAATAGTGTTACAGTTTTGGTATGTAAGAGAAGTGTTTTCGGTGGATTCACGTTACGCCAGACGTTCTAATTTTACCTTTCAGTCAAGGACTGTTCAATTAACTTCCACATTGTTGGAAAGGGCGTGTTGATATCATTATCCCAAAGACCACACCCGATGGGAATGAGATCATTATGTCCAAGAATTCTCTACCCTAAGCAAATGAGGTGAAAACGTTATTAGTAACTATAATTTTCTATTATCAGCATAGATTTTCCGAACAAAATTTGTTTGTTTTTGATCGGGATAGGTCTTCACATTTATTTATTTATTTATACACTGGGTTACACAGAACTACAGAACAGGGATATAAGTCAAATCGCAATACAATACAATTACAATAAGTTATAAGATAAAAACAATACATATAGAAGTAGTTGAAGTAAAAAGACCTAATCTCAGATATGGAACAGTAAAAAATGTCGAAAACAAGTATTATTGAGGGTCTTTATTAACAAAATAGAGACCAAAATGATGATTTCAGAATTTCAGCCTTCAGAGTTCATTCTTCCTCTTGCACCTTACAAAAAAAAAAGAAAATGATGAAAAACAGAAAAAAATAACAAAAGACCTAAAATAAAATTGGAATTGTGATAGCGGGTACAACATTTAATTCATGAGGCGGATATCGATACAAACATAAGGATAATGTAAATTATGTAGAGGATAGGTCCAAGGATTGAACCCTGTGGGACACCTGAAGAAGTATTTTTGAAATCTGACATGTGGTTCTCCACTCTAACAATTTGTTGTTGACTATGTGAAAGATATGAATCGAAAAATTTCAAAGTGCTTTGACAAAGTCCATTATAATGTAATATAGATCGAAGTAGTTCGATTTGAGTGTGGTTTTCACTAATGTTAAAAACACTTAGACACCTTATATTCACCCAGATATATTGTAAAATCAGGATTGATCATCAATATAAGAACAAAAAATCTTGCTGAAAAGCAATTGAAAAGGAAATTGAAGTTTCAAATTCGAAAACATTCGTTCTAGATTCATTGTTAACTTTCATCTTCACGTCTGCTTCAGACTGTACTATTTTTTTCTTGGTTTTTTGTACAAAACTGAAAGTATCTGTATTTATATGAGAGTAGAAGTTTCATATATCACTCTCAAATAGATTATTGTAACCTCACTTGGTGTTTGTCTCCTGTTTCTGTCAACTTTAGGCCTGTTAACTTTATTAATTTCTCATATTGGTAATTTTAATTTGTTATCAGAAACTAAAAAGAAAAGTTCCTCATCGTATGTTGAATGAGTTAATGAAGAATAAGTTGTTGGACTTAATGTTTTGATGAAGAAAAGTGTTATTCTCTTCCTCCATGTTCATTTCCAGCCCCATGGTAGATATATGTGAACTGTAAAATGAGTTAATGACCAAGCAAATATAGACAGAAAAAATACATTCTCAAGGTCGATTCAATCACACTTTTCCGCAAATTCAGTTCCAAAATATTAGTCAAGAATGTATGTATAATTTATAAAGCGGACTCATGAAAAAAATTGCTTGTTCGTGCAATAACGAAAACGTTTGTAATAAAAATGCACATTAATTAGTTTTATTCGTGCTGAAAATTGCCTGTTGGCAAGTTCACTTCAATTAGTTTCGTAATATTAACGCGATTTCAACTTGAAGTAGGACACTGATGGAACGGATACCTGTTCAGTTATTTCCGGAGCCAGAATTTTTTCTAAACTCTACTTTTATACTATTACCATTTTTGTCACACTTGATTTTCTTACACTGGAAACCTTTTTGGCTTCTAAACAAAATAGTTCGAGATGAAATCGCTCGATTTATCAAATTTCATCAAATTATGATAAACTTAAGTCATTTACTCACTTAAACTTGGTTCCTAGCTTGGTGCACTTGGCATATGACCCATTTTTAATGAAAATTCAAGTGGAGATAGGTTGATAGATCATCGTTTTTTGGAGAAAATATTATAGATAATCATAGTGACGATTGTTTCAGCTAATATTTCATTAATTTTCACAACATTTTTCACTTCAGGGCGAATGAATCCTAAAACCAGAACCTGAACAATGGAACTACGTTCGATATCTTATAACATACTCAGTCTGACTCAGGTTGTTTCGAAATAAGCATGAGAGTAGAAACCAAGGGAATAAGCACTCAAATCGCCAAGTGACGACTGAAGTATGGTAAATTAATAGTAAGATAAATGGAAGCGTTGTTAGTCGTGATTCAGTGTTAGTAGACTTTATTTTTTTTGAAAAGGCATTTTTCGATCGGATTTCGAAATCAAAATGGTTCACTGATCTGTTTTAGTCTCTTTTAATAATAGTGCAAACAAAAATAAAGCGTTCTTTGGTGTGACTTTTCATAGGTAGGTAAGTTAAGTACACATGAAAAAGTTTGATAGTTCATTTCAAGAATAAATTAAAGTAAATTCTCAGAGCACAAATACCTCATAGATACTAATTTATTTAAAAATCTTCCAATGTACAAATTCGGCTAAGAACACCTTGAATTGTTTTTGGGAAACGTAAGATCTCATGACGGGTGTAATGATAACCCAATTGCGAAACAGTTCAAATGTATTTACAGAAAAATTGCGAGCCATTTGGAATTGGGGAATAGTTTGGTGGAAATTGTATACCTTTCCAACAATTATCTATATTAAATTGTTCATTTGTCATACAACGACTAAATAAAACTACAAATAATATTGAATATAAGTTACATATAAAAGATTCTGGTTGGTTTGAATTGCCCAATTATGTCAATTTGCCAGAAACGTCTCTTAAAACTTCATCCCTGTATTGATAGCTTATTTTCTAATAAAACCATCTCTAATTATGCTTTGATGTGGATTAAGGACTGGGGTTATTTGATCTATCCCTCTGAAGATATGGAGAAAACATATCTAAAGATCTAAATAAACACAAAGTTTTGTATCAGACTCTCAAAAATTTTGTAGATGTTGATATTTTTTCTAATTTAAGGATTCATCAATTAGATAACTTTCCTGAGACAAACCAAATATCAGAATTATCAAGAGCTATTTCTGAGAAATATAGAAATTACAATCCATTGTATAGCAGATCAAACTAATTGCAAAGAAACAAAAACACAGCTTCTTAATACAATTTAATAGAATATAAAACTTATTTTCACCATTTACTTCAGATAAAATAATAATAATCGCCTTTATTTCTCACTTCATATTTGTGACTATGAGCTAAAAAACAGGAGAGAAGGGAGGAGTTCAACCCCATGTTTTTCCATGTCGCCGATACTCCTTACCGTACTTCAGGCTTCGCTTGTACGCGCCTATAGTCTTACTTATGCTTATTGAATTGATTTCTACTTCCATGGAAATAAGTGTTGCCTTTAGAAAATTTGGAAAAAGCATAACTATCATCATCATCATCAAAGAGTTTAGTTTCGATAAAGAAATTTCATAATTGTTCTTTGCAAATTCCCAACGATTTCAAATTATTTTTTTATCCTCATGCAATAATGCCATAACTTAGATGACGTTGGAAAAGCGGAAAAAGACGTATTTGAAGACATTGAATATTTTATTTCCTGGAAACCTTTTATGATACAAATTAAAAGAAGATGTTATTGTCTTAATATGATTTTCATTAACATTCCATAAACTATTCATACGATTATGTGTATACCCCTTACCGCACTTCAGGCTTCACTTTTACACGCCTATACTTATGTTCATTCCAATGGTTTCTACTTCAATGGAAACAAATGATGCCTTCAGAAAATTTGGAAGAAGCATAATTATCTTATATCAAAGAGTTCAGTTTCGATAAAGAGTTGGTTTGATCATTGTTCTTTGCATAATTTTCAATGCAATCCTCATGAAATAATATCATAACTTAGATGACGTTGGAAAAGCGAATGATGAAGTATTTGAAGATGAATATTACTGGAGTTTTATCCCAGTTATTTTATCACCTCGACACGTGTTTCGATCACCAAGTGATCATCTTCAGTTTAGTCTTCCCCTTAAAGATGATCACTTGGTGATTGAAACACGTGTCCAGAACATCATTATGATCTCCTCTTCTCAGTCATATTGATATCCTGAGGCCGCTAACTTGGTTAGCGAAACGCGCGTCGAGAGACCGTAATTTTTGTTGTGGTGTTGGAAAAGTGTTTTCAATTAGATATTGTATTTCCTGAAAAATTTTCAGATGTATGCACTTATACAGAAAACTCACTTATTTAAGTCTTAAATATGTTTACACCGATGAGTATCAATGTATATTTTCAAAATGAAAATTCTGTTACCTTTTTTGGCGAAAGTACAGTCCAAAACAACACACAGGCACAATATTACAAAAATTCCTTTCACTTCCATTTTCACAGCACCCACTAAATCATCCACAACACAGTTATAATCCAAGAATCGTTATCTTCACTGTCACCAAGCGGTTCTGCAGAACTTTTCAGTCATACCACCCGAACTATATCATCAACAGTTCCGCACTTCGCAGCTCTTCAAGAGGATCTTGAGGTACACTCTGTTTGTGACTGAACTCCCTCGCGACTACTAAAACCTGACTGACGGTATCCCCCACTATGTGACTGTTACGAAGTTCAACGATAACGAAATGCTTCGCTGAACGGTGTTAGGGAATGAGAGTCCTTCGCCAAACCGTTGTGTATAAGGCTCGTAGCTCGTAGCAACGCTGGGCGACTGGTCCGTTCCTGAACTGAATCCTCAATATATTGCAGCAGAAAACAAGAACAAATGAGCGTCGCTAGCAGCATTATACGAAAAACCACGGACGGATAAATATGTTAGCTATAGATAACTCTTATTTCTTGAGATGAAATTACACATCTCAGATGCCTTGAACAAATAAATTGTAAGAAAAGCTAATATTGTTGGAAGATGGAAGATACTGTTTCAAGGAATCATGATGTGTACGGGGGAACCCAATTGTGGATTGGATTATTCATTATTCTATATGAATTCGAAAATAGGTACAGAAGAACGACTAGTGATTCATTTTCTGTAAGTATGTGTAGTAAACACTGACTCATGACTATTTTAATCGTTAGATCATCATTTCATGTCTTGCTTCTTTTGCAATATTGTCTTCCACGTGTGGTCATTGTGTAATGGATGAAATGGAAATATGACGATGGCCTTGGTTGTAACTAGTCAACAGTTTTGTTTTTTACAGTACGCAGAATTGTTCATAGTGCTGAGTTGTAGATGAAGAGCGTTGAACTTGAATTGGAGTCAGATTATTTGGACTATTACCATGAATAAAGACAATGTAAGAATTGACATATCTTTTTCAAATTTATTCAATGTAAACGAGAAAAAAATGCAGAAATAATAATCTAATGTATGATATTTGTTTCTTCGAATTGAATTTTTTTGGAACACCGTTTTAATAAAGAAAGTTTTTGGCTTTCTACTACTCCATCTTGATACAAAAAAAAAGAAGGATGGGGGAGTCTTCCAAAGAAAGGAAGGAAGTAACTCTATACATGGATGTGTAGATCATGCAAAGAAGTAACTTTCAGACAAAAACTGAAAGAAAGTCCTCCTGAAACAGCTACTTTCATATAAACATTGAATTATACGAAACAAATACTTCTATATGAACACTGAATTATACAGAAAATACTTTTCTCTACTTAGTTTGTATTTCAAGTAAGTAGAGAAAAGTATCTTCTGTATAATTCAGTGTTCGTATAGAAGTATTTGTTTCGAAAGAATTTTTTCTTTCGTATTATTCAATGTTTATTTTTATTTTCTTTTTTAAATTTATTTCCTGTTGACAAATATACATTTTGTAGGAGCCGTCAGTGATAAAATCTCAGGTACTACTTACAAACTAATGGGACATGTACTCTTCAATAGTATAAACATTATGAGAACATAAAAAATATTTCAAGCGATATTTGAATTCGGCTTGAGATCTGCTCTCCCTTATATTCATTGGCAAATGGTTGAATATTCGGGGAGCCATCAGATTTGGTGAGTTAAGCGAGCCAGCTTTGTTCTGGCGTATGGTACAAACAAATTATTATTTTGACGAGTATTCACATTGCGGATACATCTATTCATCAGAAAGATTTCATTGTCATTTTTGAAAACATGTAAACACAGTTCAAATATAAACAAACAAGGCAATGTTAGAATATTAAAATCAACGAACATATTTTTGCAGGAATCCCTAGTTGACAATCCTGTAGTGGTTCTCAGTATTCTTTTTTGCACTAGGAATACCTCATTCGAACGTGACGATAATCCCCAGAAACATAGGCTATATCTGAGTCTGGACTCAACTTGAGCATAATACAGCGTCAGCAACTGACTAATATTCAACACTTGTCTTAAATTTCTGAGCTGAAATGTTATCGAATTCAACTTCTTCATTAAAAATTCACAATGATTATGCCAGCCATAACATTGGTCGATATGAAGTCCCAGGAATTTGGTACTTTCGGTGCCTGTCGTTACAGAATCTCCCTTCTCATTAATCTTGAAACTGATTGGTGTATAATATTTCTGTCTGTTATGGAAACGGATCAGAACAGTTTTATAAATATTCATGAATAACTTATTTGCCGCAAACCATGAATTTAAGTTTCGAAAAACTTCAGCACATTTCTCTTCCAGGTCAGAATCATACCTATCTGAGACAATAATAGAAGTGTCATCAGCGTACATTATTACTGTTTCTTCCGTTATTGAGTTTGCAAAATCATTTATATAAAACAGAAATAGTATTGGGCCTAATATGGATCCTTGTGGCACCCCAAGGTCCGTAGAAATTATATCAGATCTCATTTCAGTAACTTCTACAAACCGTTTTCTATGAGAGAGGTAATCCGATAACTAAGACAGCGGAAGACCACGTATGCCATACTTGTACAGTTTATCTTTTAGAATTTGATGATCTACACAGTCGAATGCTCTGCTGAGATCACAAAATATCCCAACAGGGCACTCTCCTGCATCGAGGCATTTGATTATTTCGTTATAGGATGAATGTATTGCTGTTATGGTTGATTTCTTATTTAAAAATCCATGTTGATTTCTGGCAAAGACGTTATTATTAGCACAGAACGGTATCATTCGATTGAAGAAGGCGTATTCAAAAATCTTCGAAAAGCAAGATGGGATTGTCACGGATCTGTAATTTTCCAAGGATTGGCAACAATTTTTTTTATGGATTGGAATAATTTTTCCCATTTTAAGAGGGTCGGGAAATGATCCAGTGGTAAAGGATAAATTCACCAAATAGACCAATGGCCTCATCAAGACTGGTAGTGGTAGTTTATATGAAAGTAGCTGTTTCAGGAGGACTTTCTTTCAGTTTGTGTCTGAAAGTTACTTCTTTGTATAATCTACACATCCATGTATAGAGTTACTTCCTTCCTTTCTTTGGAAGACTCCCTCATCCTTCTTTTTTTTTGTATCAAGATGGAGTAGTAGAAAGCCAAAAACTTTCTTTCCCAAAAATTAATCACTCCTAAAAAATATAACCCCTTCAATTCACCGTTTTAATGTTATGTATTTGCTCTGTTCTAGTAGTTCAAATATATACAAGGCTCTTCAACATCACAAGATATTAATATCAGCAGTTGTTCTAATCGTACTTTTCATATTAATGATCATAAATAATAATAATGTAATTAATGTATATAATACATTTGCAACAGAATGTAATTGTATCTATTATATACATTGTTCATGACAAAACTTCCTTGAAAATTGAATAATTACGTTTTGTTTATTGCTATTTGGTCGAAAAAAATCGTGTTAAAATTTTTTTCAAACAGGTTACTTTGTAAACGTCATCTTTCAATAGGTACTCTTGATAACCATTAAAAATGCCACTTTTAATGACAGTCGTACAAAAAATGTTTCATGTGAAAAATCGGAATATCTAATAGAGAATGGAGAAAACAACACAGCAATCATGCTTCAGCCACCGTATTTACCAAGTTTGGCCCCCTGAGACTTTTTCTTATTCCCAAGATTGGGGAGACATGGTTATGACATAGAAATTTCTCACAATAAATTGCGAGACATGCTAATATTGTTGAAAGATGGAAGATACGAATGAAGTATGTGTGAATAATTTTTTGTGAGTACGTGAAGTGACTATCTCAATTATTGTTGAATCATTATGCGTCCTGTTACTATCACAATATTGTCCTTGACATGCGGTCATTGTATAGGTAATGGATCGAATAGATATACATATGAAGATGGCATTGGTTGTAATTAGTTAACAATTTTTTTACGTTAAGCAGAACTGCTTATAGTACTGAGTTTGAGAGAAAAAGCGTTGAACTTAACGGATTATTTGGACTGATACTGTAAATAATAGTCACTAAAGAAGAAATTCACGACAGCCTACGTCATACTATAAATGGACAAGCGTCGACTTCGGTTTCAAGTTCAGCTACCAAGCAAAGCATATGAATATAGCAAGATCTTGCCGAAACGTCGTTATTGTATCAAAGATGAACGAATGTACACCTAGGATACCAATTTATCATGTGATACGTTGCGGAGAACAGTGACGAGTCCTGGGGCGTGGGTAGATTGAAACCACAGAGCTCAGTGTAGTCCTACCTTCTTGATAATGGCTATACAGTCGAAGCCGAAACGTCGAATAACCGCATGTGTATATATGATATAACACCATATAATAACTCAATGAATTTAAGATATTATTGAACGAATCATTATTTTTGACGAGATGTACGAAAGTGGTTTCTCTTGTTAATGAATGACACGATATAGCAATTTTAAATTTTTGTCTATTCACACTAATTGCTAATACTGCTTCGAGTTATTCCATCTAATGGAGCACTATTACTTTTTCAGTTATATTTCACGCTTTCAAAGAGGAATACAGCTAAACTAGGTTAATTGCTACATTATTAATCCAATTGAAGTAGTTTTTGAAAGTGGTTTTACTCTATAAGTAAATGCTACGAGATATAATATTGGATTATTGTCAGGAATTTGGATCGAATGAAATTGATTCTGAAATCATTAATTTTTATTCAATACATTCTCATATTATTCGCTCGAAACTAATTGGTTTGTATTATAATTCTTGAAAGTAAGAGGTATTGGTATTTATGATTTGCATTATTTTATTGAAATGCACATACATTGCAAAAAAATTTACTGTATACACTTCATTTCATAACTAATGCTTTGTTTATGAAATCATTAAAATATTCTGGGAATTTAATAACCAAATGAAAAAATCGTTTTGTAATGAAATTCATTCCATCTTAATGCATCTGTTGATCAACTACTCATCAAGGTAAATATCAATATTGAGAAACTACTTTTGTTAAAACATCAATTCACAAATATTTCTCAAAGACTCATTTGACGAAGTTATTTTTTTGGTATATTCTATGACTATGCCTCTTGCGAAACTCAATGAGCGTGGATACATCCTGTTTGACTTTCACACTACTGACCATGTCAACATAGTCATATATCTGTCATTGGTCAAATAGTGCCTTAGATTAAATTAATCATTTGGTTAGATATCAACTTGAACGGAAGGAGCTCAACAATTTCTAGATTGAATTGTTCGTTTACACATTGATATATGAGTTCGTCTATTTGTTTTCTTCAGATAAACTAGATTTAGCTAGAACTGGGCGAAGGCTATCACATTCATGAGAAGAATCCTACTCTGAACCGAGTAAAAATAAAATTCCTGTCACCTTTTTTTATTAGTTCTTAGATGTAAACTCGGTTACAATGAAATCTGAGGTTTGGCATCTGATTCACAAGTGTTGTGAGAAATGTGTATCGAAGTTGAATGAGCCAGTAAGTGAAAATTTCAAGAAAATTATTCTGATTTAATTTCTATATCTGAAATTCAGGAAGTTTGCGGTGTTGAGAAGGGAGGCACTGAAATCAAACTGAATGTGTCACAAAGTTGATCCTAAAATAATATCATTAAATATGGTCGTAATGTATGATAATGATTGTAAAATAGGATTATACTGAGTGGACGATAAATATGAATTAAACCAAAAATGAAAGATTATAAGAATTGAAACAATTAGTTTTATATGAACATTGAATTATAAAAAAAACACTGTTTTCTATTCCAAACATTCTTCATGGAAATGACAGGATTGCTACACAATACAGTATATGAAAGAGGTAAAATTTCACTGTCATCCTCAATGGTGGACATCGATGTTTCGGAATAAAACCCTTGTATTATTTCACTCAATTCATCGATGACAGTACGTAATGACATTCATTTGATTATTTTATTCAATCCCAATCATATTAATCTTGTATAAATTGAGAGGGGTATATTTTCAGGAAAGATTAATTTTTGCCTA